CGTACAGGTTGTACTTTTGGTAAACGTAATATTCCTCTTGCTCACGTGCGCTTGTCAGATTTACTGTCATTATATTATAGGTGATATTTTTATCTCTAATTGTTGTTTAGCGGAGTAAATTATCAATTAGATATTAGACTATAGTATAATAATGTTGAAATTGCGTGATATAGCCAAGAGAAGTCTTATTGGAGAACCTGTTAAAATAGCGACTGCTTTTGCAGGTTTTGATAATAGTTATCAGTTTGATAATCAAAAACGTTTTAGTAAATTTTTCTGAACAAATCTCTTTCATCTGCTACAGACGACTGTAAAACGTGAGCTTGAAAAACACAAGGGTCTAAGATTGTTAGTGCAATATCACGTTATATTTTCAAAACTACTTTTGACGGAAGAATCTACTAACAAGGAAATTGCAGACCCTTACATCAACGCAAAATCTAGACGTGTTTTACTTGGTAGTGATCTTTTGTCACTATCTAATGAAATACACCAAGAAATTTGGAAAAAAATAGAAGAATTTACCGAATTAGGTTCGGGTTGGAAGTTTGAAATGATCAAGGAAATTTTGTTTCACACGATGAAATATGACGCATTACGCGGTAGTTCGTATATCGACCTGCCACCAAAAATAAAAAATAAACAGTGCTGTATAAACATAAAAAACGTCGATAGCAAATGTTTCCAATGGGCTGTTCTTTCCGCGCTATTTCCAGCAGAAAAAAATGCTGATCGTGTTGAGAAGTATATCAGTCACGTGTCAAGATTAAATTGTGCTGGTATTGACTTTCCAGTGGCAGAAAATCAAATACCAAAGTTTGAAAAGCAAAATAATGTTTCGATTAACGTTTTCGGATTAGATGAAAAAGAAAATGTCTATCCGAGGTATATTTCAGAAAAGGCTTCACAATCGACTATCAATTTACTGTTTTATAAAAATCATTACATTTGGATCAAAAACTTTAACAGACTAGTTGGAAGACAGTATAATAAAAATAACAACAAAAAGTTCTTTTGTTATCGCTGCTTGCACGGTTGTAGAGACAATGAAACATTACAAAAGCATTTGCAGTACTGTAGTGACGTACAAAGAATAACAATGCCATCTAAAAAAGATAGCGTGTTACAGTTTGTCCATCATAATCATAAACTAAAAATTCCTTTCGTCATATACGTCGATTTCGAATGCTTACTTCAACCTGTACTTGGCGTAGAAAATGATCCTAACCAATCGAGTACAAGAAAAATTCAAAATCATGTTCCGTGCGGAGTAGCGTACAAGGTAGTTTGTTGCGCTGATTCGAGATTATCTAAACCAATCCAACTCTATCGTGGTAAAAATCCAGCTGTCTGGCTTCTCAAGCAGTTGATTAATGAAGTTGATAATATTACTTATCGTTTGAAAAAAGTAACTCCAATGTTAAAATTAACACCTCAACAAGAATCTGATCACGAGCAAGCGAAAATTTGTTATATTTGTGAAAAAGCTTTTGATGACAACAAAAAAGTACGTGACCATTGCCATTTGACCGGACAGTATCGTGGAGCGGCTCATGACCAGTGTAATTTAAAATTTCACGCTCCAGATTTTATTCCAGTTATTCTTCACAATTTTCGAGGATATGATAGCCATATTATAGTAGAAGCTTTTGGTGATCCTGATATAAAATCTCGTCTAAAACTCGATAGCGTTATCAAATGCATCCCAAATAATTTTGAAAAGTATATGTCAGTTACGCTAGGTAAATTGCGTTTTATTGACAGCCTGCAGTTTATGGCAGCCTCGTTAGATGAGTTAGTAAAAGGTTGTAGTAAATTTGATAACCTAAGAGACTGTTTTGGAGATAAATTTAATCTATTAGCTAAAAAAGGAGTTTTTCCATACGAATATCTCGACGATTGGAGTAAATTTGATGAAACATCTTTACCTGACAAAGACAAATTTTACTCACAACTTAAAAATGAAAATATAACTGATGACGAGTACAAGTATGCACAAGATATTTGGAAAGAGTTTGATTGTGAGACTTTTGGTGATTATCACGATTTGTATTTGAAAACTGACGTGTTATTATTAGCAGATGTTTTTGAAAGTTTTCGAGAAGTGAGTTATAATAATTATGGACTAGATCCTTGCTGGTATTATTCTGCCCCCGGACTGTCATGGGATGCTCTGTTAAAGTTTAGTAAGGTAAGGTTGGAATTACTGACTGATGTTGATATGTTCAATTTTATCGAAAAAGGTATCCGAGGCGGTATTAGCGTGATAACGAAGAAGTATGCTGAAGCAAACAACAAATATTTGAAAGAGTATAATCCTGACCTTCCTTCGAAGTATATAGTTTATCTAGATTGCAATAACTTGTACGGGTATTCGATGGCAGAACCAATGCCGTTTGGTGGATTTCATTGGATCACGGCTGATCAATTTCTATCAGAGACAGAAAAAAAGATACCCGACGATGTTTCGTATTTCGTTGAAGTTGATCTCGATTATCCAACTTCGCTACACAAATTGCATAACGATTACCCTTTCTGTGCGGAATCGATGGTTATAGATTATAGTTTGTTATCAGAAGAACAACAAGCGTCAGCATTACCAAGACAACATTCTATGGTAAAGAAACTAGTACCAAATTTGCTTCATAAACGTAATTATGTTTTGCATTACAAAGCTTTAAAACAAGCAGTCGATGCTGGTCTCGTGTTGAGAAAAGTTCATCGCGTACTAAAATTTAATCAGTCGCCGTGGATGAGAGGTTATATTAACTCAAACACTACAAGAAGAGCTGCGCAAAAATCTGATTTTGAGAAAAACTTTTTCAAACTGATGAACAATTCCGTTTTTGGTAAGACGATGGAGAATATTAGGAAACGCGTAAATATCGAACTAGTCAATGATGTCAATCGCAGAAACAAACTTGTGTCAGACGATGATTTTGTGAGCATGAAAATATTTAATGAGAATCTTGTTGCGATACAAAGAAGAAAAACAAAATCTAAAACTAAACAAGCCGATCTACGTTGGAGCTTCAGTGTTAGATTTATCAAAGTGGCTGATGTACGATTTTCATTATAATTTTGTTAAAAATCAATGGCCGGCTAGTAGATTATTATTTACTGATACTGATTCGCTCGTATATGAAATCGAATGTTCGGACGTCTATCAGGACATGCATGATAATAGATATCTGTTTGATCTTTCTGATTACCCACGTGACAGTAAATTTCATGACGACACAAATAAAAAGGTTATTGGTAAGTTCAAAGATGAAATGAACTCGAGCGCTATCAAATACTTTATCGGATTACGTAGTAAAATGTATGCCGTATTGTTAGACAATAATAAAATAACAAAAAAAGCAAAAGGTCTGCCTCGTGATTTTGTTAAAAAGTTTATAAAATTTGATGACTACAAGTATGCGCTTGATGGCGGTGTTAGTTTTATAAGAGCTATGTCAATTCGGACAAATCATCATAAGCTCGAAACAGATGTTCTTATCAAACGCGGTTTGAGCAATTTTGATGATAAACGTTATTGCGAAAATGGGGTAGATACATTTGCACTTGGGTATTGTCATGATGATAGAGATATATTTGACATTATCTTTGCAAACTAAAATTTTATCTAAACTTTAAAAATAATGTTTGAAAATTTGACAGTAACAAATAGCTACAGTAGCAAAATCAAATATCTAATGATGGACGACAAACCATTGACAGTTGAAATTAATAATGAAACATCAGGCATATGCTTTAGTGGTAGCCGTGACAAGTTAAAACTTTCGCTCATCAGATCTGATGACAGCGAGTATTTTAATTATCTCGAACAATTGTATCAAAAGTTGCTAGCGGAATTTAACAACTTTCACTGTCCGATTAGTCAGCAAAAATACACCAAACTTACAATTGATCTTGATCGGTCAAAGGTGTATTTTATCGACAAAAAATACCCTCTTAACAAATCACAAATAAAAGATTTGTTTGAGTCCCGTCGTTATGTGAGCGGTAAAGTAAAGTTTAGCCTCTATTACCATGATAATGAAATATTTTTGATATCTACAGTTGAGACATTAACAGTTGGTAATGAGGTATAATACCACTTACCTTACTGGAATTCTAATGCGTAATTTAGTCCACAATCGCCACGCTCTGCTAAATCGTAATGATTTGGAAAATTGAGTCTGACACATCATTTTGCTTATTCTGGAAGATCACGTAATTAAATTTTACCTGTTACCTAGGTATTTTGCAACAGGTGTTCTATTGTATTTGTTTGGAGGTCTAGAGGGGTTGTTGAGCTCGGATTCTTAACGCAATTATTGATTGCAACAGGTGATCTATTACGTTACCTAGGTATTTTGTATTTGTTGAGCTCGGATTCTTAACGCAATTATTGATTGCAATAGGTTTTCTATTACGTTACCTAGGTATTTTGTATTTGTTTGGAGGTCTGGAGGGGGTTGTTGAGCTCGGAATCTTACTTTCTCCTACTACTGATACCAGTTTTAGTTGTCTTTTGATTAGGACACCTGCAAACATTGAACAAATTCTTTTGCAAGGGAGATAAACGATTTTCATCCCAAATGTCTTTTCCAGAATTATCTTTTCATCAAGTATTGTTGATCTTCACACCAGAACAAATAGCGTTGAATGTGACAGACACGGATATCTGACAAAGTATCTACATACTTATATACTGAAAACCTTTATTTTAATGTATATGAAAAACTTAATTAATATTATTGCATTTGAATACATTGTATAATGTTTACACATCTTTGATTGAAGAAAATAAGAAATCTTGAACAAGAAATATCCGCACTGAGGTGAACCAGAATATATATCACGTTTTCTCTTTCACACTATGAATAACAAATAGCATAATGCAGAAACTGTTATTAAGCTGATGGATTCATTGACTAATCGAGAGGTTGATATATAATAGTTAAAACCTTTATAATATAATTACACCTTATAGGGTCGTATGCTTGATAACCGCTCCGGTTGCCTAGTGGTTAGAGCGTTCGCGTCGGATGCGGGAGGTCGTGGGTTCGATTCCCGGTCGAGTCATACTTACAAAAATGGTACTAAAAGCTACGTCGCTTGGCGCTCAGCATTAAGATGTTAGCGTTAGGTCTGGTCGGCCTGGTGTCAGGATAAAATAGACTGGATGGGACATCATGCTATATCTCTGCGACATTATGCCCCAGTACTAGACATCACTATAAACTGCTACAATGGAGACATCGTAGTGATATGACTAAAAATTGTTAAAGCTACTTTAAAAATCATAATCACACCTCACATCGTATGTTTGGTCTAGCTATGCATAAGAACATGACCTGCTAAAAATATCACAAAGTGTAACACTCTTAATATTGAACGAGTGAATTATAGAAATATGCATAATTCAAGTATGATGCACATATGCAATTTGTGCATGCATACAAAATCCCGTTTTTAAAAGTTAAGATTTCTTAAATTGCTACTTGGAAGACCAGTTTAATTATGTAGCTTTATGTTGAAGCAGTTTGAGCTTACTCAGGGTATCTTTTCACTATTGAACTATTTAGCTTATAGACGATTTTTCGGTTTCTGAAAATGTACAATCGGACCGTCTCTTCGATAGAAAATGCAAAATTGTAGCGTTTGCCGTTGTGATGTGCACTATTGATATCACAATATGTTAGGTTAATGTGATAAATTAGACGCTGGGACCCTTGTTTGATCATTGGGAAGCTTTGAATCTAAGTCTGCAGCCATCGTGAAAAATTTGTAATGAATTTATGTCAGGCGTGTCTGACTTGATGCCTGCGCAGGTGACTATCATGTCTACTTCGTCGAGGGGTCCAAGCTACTGACTGATGTATTGCGTGTGAACAAGGAAATAAATTCCGTTCTGTTTTAAGACGGGTCTAAACTAACATATTTATCATTCTTATAAAAGCTAGACATTTACTACGTTTTTAAGAGACAAGCCTACGTTACAAAATTATTATGGGTTTTTTCATAACTCTGGTTCCTTTGTAGTGGCAATAAAAACGTAAAATCCCAATTTACAGACACTATATAAAGCAACCACTGACAATAAAGATGATACCTTAATGTACAAATACATAATGATATATTACAAGGACAAACTAGAGTGTACTCTTCATGGACCGCTCCGGTGGCTTAAGTGGGTAGAGCGTCCGCTTCGTATGCATGAGGTAGCGGGTTAAAACTCGGTCGAATAATACCAAAGACTTAAACGTGGTTCGAACAGCTTCATCGCTAAGAGCTCAGTATTAAGACGTTAGTGTTAGGACTGGTCAGCATAGTGGCTGTGACTGTAATTCGATCATGTGACTGGGTGAGACATAATGATATATGCCTGTAGTATAATGCCCAGTGCTAGACATCACTAAAAGCTACAAGACTGCAGACTCTCTTATTCTTCCTCTCTCTCTCTTCTCTCTCCCTCTCTCTCTCTCTCACACACACACACACACACCAGAAACACACACGATCCTTATGTGCCACAATTCATTACATTCATTAGGCGTCAAATATTAGTTGGCAATGATACCAGTCAAGTATCAGACCGGACGTTAAAGTCAGCTGTTCGGAGATGAAATGGCATCAATTGAAAGCTACTATTGTGCAACAATGACAAACGTTTTTTTTTTAAATTTGAACAAATATTTTATTACAACAAGCTTAGCTGAAAAGTACATAATTCTGAGATATATTGCCAGGTTTGATATTTGTTTTTCTGTTTTCTTGTTTTATATGACATGATATACTACTGCTCCTGGTAGCCATCAATAAGTACGTAATATTATACATCAAAAGATGTTCCAATATACTTTCAATAATCTATTTTGCAAGAGCCACACATGATTTTTTTATTCTTTAAAAGGCATAGTAAATACAGCTAAGTATTGGAACGGATGAAAGCACAATTATATAAGCTGTGTTCATACCAAAATATATAATATATGTCATTAGAATTCATTCAAGGTACAATATGCTATATATATCTAACTTGATAAACGAATAGATAAACTGAATCCGGTAGTGATAAAAAGAAGATGTTAACCATGCTATACAAATACAGTATTAATACTCTTGGACGTGATTAATAACACAAGATGTTAACCGTAATATACTAATACTCTTGGGCGTGGTTAATAACACAAGATGTTAACCGTAATATACTAATACTCTTGGGCGTGGTTAATAACACAAGATGTTAACCGTAATATACTAATACTCATGGACGTGGTTAATAACACAAGATGTTAACCGTAATATACTAATACTCATGGGCGTGGGTAATAACACAAGATGTTAACCGTAATATACTAATTCTCTTGGGCGTGGTTAATAACACAAGATGTTAACCGTAATATACTAATACTCTTGGGCGTGGTTAATAACACAAGATGTTAACCGTAATATACTAATACTCATGGACGTGGTTAATAACACAAGATGTTAACCGTAATATACTAATACTCTTGGGCGTGGTTAATAACACAAGATGTTAACCGTAATATACTAATACTCTTGGGCGTGGTTAATAACACAAGATGTTAACCGTAATATATTAATACTCTTGGACGTGATTAATAACACAAGATGTTAACCGTAATATACTAATACTCATGGACGTGGTTAATAACACAAGATGTTAACCGTAATATACTAATTCTCTTGGGCGTGGTTAATAACACAAGATGTTAACCGTAATATACTAATACTCTTGGGCGTGGTTAATAACACAAGATGTTAACCGTAATATACTAATACTCATGGACGTGGTTAATTTTCACAAAGATGTTAACCGTAATATACTAATACTCTTGGGCGTGGTTAATAACACAAGATGTTAACCGTAATATACTAATACTCTTGGGCGTGGTTAATAACACAAGATGTTAACCGTAATATATTAATACTCTTGGGCGTGGTTAATAACACAAGATATTAACCGTAATATACTAATACTCATGGACGTGGTTAATAACACAAGATGTTAACCGTAATATACTAATACTCTTGGGCGTGGTTAATAACACAAGATGTTAACCGTAATATACTAATACTCATGGACGTGGTTAATAACACAAGATGTTAACCGTAATATACTAATACTCTTGGGCGTGGTTAATAACACAAGATGTTAACCGTAATATACTAATACTCTTGGGCGTGGTTAATAACACAAGATGTTAACCGTAATATATTAATACTCTTGGGCGTGGTTAATAACACAAGATGTTAACCGTAATATACTAATACTCTTGGGCGTGGTTAATAACACAAGATGTTAACCGTAATATATTAATACTCTTGGGCGTGGTTAATAACACAAGATGTTAACCGTAATATACTAATACTCATGGACGTGGTTAATAACACAAGATGTTAACCGTAATATACTAATACTCTTGGGCGTGGTTAATAACACAAGATGTTAACCGTAATATACTAATACTCATGGACGTGGTTAATAACACAAGATGTTAACCGTAATATACTAATACTCTTGGGCGTGGGTAATAACACAAGATGTTAACCGTAATATACTAATACTCTTGGGCGTGGGTAATAACACAAGATGTTAACTATACTATTCTAATACAGATTAAGGTACTTTGGGAATAATTAAAAATACAAGAAGACATTAACATTACGTTACTAACAGAGAGCTACAGTTTTTACTCAATTGGGCATAGATCGAAAGTTATGAAGATGTCAAGAAAGCAAGTAACCATGACAAAATTGCAAGCTGCAAAAGTGTTTCTACCTGAATTTTCAGACACACAGACACACACACAAACACACACACACACAAACACACATACACACACACATATATATATATATATATATATATATATTATATAATATATATATATATTATATATATATATATATATATGTATATATATATATATATATATATATATATATATATGTATATATATATATATATATATATATATATATATATATATATATATATATATATATATATATATATATATATATATATATACTCAAGTGGCGCACCAGCTGAGTTGACAGTTGTATAAGGCAGAATATTAATCTGTCTTTGATGATATATGTTAATACAAGATACGCATTAAGCGTTCGGAGGACAGCACTTTATGTATTAAGCGTCTGGAGGCGAGTTCGTTACGTGTGAAGGGTCTGGAAGCAATCAACATCATATGTACGAAGCGTCTGGAGACTTTCAAATAAAGTAGTAATAGTTTTGAGACTTTCAATATAAGTATTAATTGTCTTGAGACTCTAAGATAGGCTTTTAGTGTCTAGAAGCTATAAAAGTATGTTCTAAGGGACTACATGCAAGAACAAAATGCCCTAAAAGTGAAGAGGTTAGCAGATAACTGTTATAAATAAGTTATATTAAAACGCTGCGACCATTTTACAATAGAAATATTCAACCTGATGAAGTCAGAAACTTCCAATTACACAAAGAAGAACCCCATTCTAATTGTTGCTAAGATAAGCATATTTATCCATCGGCTGATGAGAAAGACGTCTAACAGATTTGCTTTTTTTCTTATGTAGATAATTCTTAGGCCTTTTTGTTGCACTTTTTGGTTTTTTATTTGCTTGATTAACAGCATTGTTATCGACGGTTGAATTGGCTCGCGTTGCATTTCATTCACTTTTAAGTATAATTTAGGGTTTGGAAAACATTGCAGAATTTGAGTAGGAATACGTCAAGAAATGTTTAATTTTTACTTAATGCCAATATTACATACAGCTGGTTATTGATATGATATGCAGAGATAGAAATTACAATGCGCCTAGTATATTTTGTCAGTTTAGGTCATTTTGCGATAAGAATAATTAATCTAACCTTTAAAAGAAATTTTCATATTTCGCTGTTGGAAAAGAAGAAAATATAAAATTAAAAGATACAAAAGAAATATTAACAGTCATTTTGGATGAGATTAAAAGATTAAAGCGATGAATAACCAGCCAGTTTTGATGAGATCTTGCGGATGTATGTGATTTAAATACATGTATAAATTTTAAAGAGCCCTTTG